TGCTCTGTGGTGGTTGGGGCTTTTCTTTTAGGGATTTCTCTCCCACTGTTCTGAGTTTTACTTAATGGTAAACACTGCTACTAGGGTCTTGTGGGATTTGAAGTGATGTTGGAGTCTCTCCTAAATACTCTGTTTCCTAGTTTTGGTGCCTGGGAGAACTGGGGGGACACCAAGTCAAGAGAGTGAGATGCCCACCCACAGTGGTATTTCTGGCTTGTTTCTGGTTACAGGGAGGGCATAGGGCTGCTGAAGTTCCCTTATAGAGGACTGCGTTCTGTGGTTCCCAGGCTGGAGTGTTTGTGTTACTGAGGCACCTGTAGCTGGGTCTGAAGTCCTGGGACTTGACAGGACGCTGCTAAAGATCCCTGAGGTAGAGTGTGGCCTGCTCTGTCCAGGCTGTGATGTGCATCTGCTCCCAGTGCATGGATGGTTAAACATGAATGGGATGCACTTTCTGTGTGGTGCTGCAGGCCCGCAGTAAGGTGTGAGGCCCTGCACAGCCTGCACTGTGGTGTGCATCTGCTCCTGACATGCTGATGGCTGAGCACTGAGAGGGATGCACTTCCTGGATGTGGCAAGGTGTGGGGCTAGGTCATGTCTGGTCCAGACTGGGGCATGCTGGGGCTTGAGTCTGCACCCAAGGTGCTGGGAACTGGACCTGGAGTCAGTGGCACCTGCCAGGGGGTTGCTGAAGGTTTTTGGTGTAGATCAAGGCCCTGTGCGGCCCAAGCTAGGACCTGTTACTGCTTCTGAAGAGCTGGTAACACTTCTGGGCATGGCTGGGGCTTGAGAGCAAGGGCTAAGCCCTGCAGTGCCAGGACTGGGGCTTACGTTTGTCCCTATAGGGGTCTGGGATCATGAATATCTTGCTGAAGCTCCCTGATGTCCCTTTTTAAATTAATTATTTTACGTAATGACGTATCCTTGTTTACATCTTTTTTAATATTTTGGTAATACACGATTTCTCCCCTTGGGTGTGGTCATTGTAGCTCCCCTACCGCCAAAGCACTCATAGTTCTCCCTTAACTCATTCTCACCCCTCCCCCCTCTTCCCCCTTCCCCTCCCTTCTTGGACACACTCTTTTCTTTTGTTGTTGTGTTTAGACCATTCATATTTAGGGTAATTGTTGATATATGTGGTTTAATTACTGACATTTTATCTTTTGTTTTATGGTTCTTTTATTTCTATTGTTTCTTTTCCTACATTTCTATCTGCCTTTTATATAGATGGTTTTCCTGGGTGGTCTCTGGTTTTCATTTTTCCCCTAAGTTTCTCTGTTCCAGATTTTTGAGGGTTATTCTAAATCTTTTTATGTAAAAGAGTCTTTTTTAGTGCTATTATTAACTTATTATTTGATTTCATATTTTATCCTTTTCTTCCTCTCTTTCAACATTTGTTATTGTCTTACATTATTCTTGTTTATGTTTCTGGTTTGGTATAATTATTTATCATCTAGATCAAGGTTTGTGTCTTTATTTTTTCTTTTCCTATAGAGGAACTCCTTTCAATAATTCCTATAGGGAAGCCATGTGTGAATTCCAATTGTTTTCAGATGTCTGATAAAGCCCCCTTATTTCTCCATTATATATGAATGTTAATTTTTCAGACTAGAGTATCTTGGGTGCTAATTTTTATCTCTTGGTATTGTGTATGCATAATCCCACTCTTCTCTAATGTGAAGTCTGATAATAACCTTATTGGGGTACCTTTTTATGTTACCTGGTTCCTTACCTCATTGCAGACTTCAGTGTTTCCTATCATTGAATTTTGATAATTTTACAATGAAATGTCTTGGTGTAAGTCTTTGCATTTAGAAATTGTGGCATTTCATTAGCTTCCTGATTATCTTTGCTTAGTTCTTAGGTTTGGGAAGTTCTTTTTTTTTTTTTTTTTTAAAGATTTATTTATTTATGCACACAGAACTGGCGTACAGGCCAAAGGGTCAAGAGTGGTGAGAAGATTCACCAGAGACAGAGTAATGAGCAGAACAGGCAGATTAATGAAGTATACTGCTGAGGGGTGCAGTGGGTGAGACAGGAGAGGTCTTCTGTGCCATGTGGGCCATCTTCCTGACCAGGTATCAGCTATCAAACTAGCAGTGAAGCGGCTGGGGTTAGCTTTGTAGTGCTGCACTTTAAATCCATTGCACCACCATGTGGGAAACCCATTATACTGATGTTTCCTCTCCCAATGGAGGATGGCATTTCTTGTAGAGTCTCTTCATTTTTCCTGAATCTTATTTCTCTCTCCTCTTCCCCCGGAGTTATTTGTATATTTTTACTTTCCATTTCACTGATTATTTCCTCTAATTAAGCCTACTTACTATGCTTTTCATGGTTGTCTTAAGTTCTTTATTTTCCATATTCAGCACATCTGTGTTTTCTTCCATAGCCCCAGTCTCTTTGATAAAGAAGTCCTGCTCCTGAATATTTTTCTGAGTTGCTTAAATTGTCTTTGTGTGGTTTTTTCATGTAGCTCTTCTAAACTCTTTGGTAGCCCCTATAATTTGAACTTTCATTACTTGGAACTTTTATTACTTGGAAATTTCTAAACATTTTCATCCTACTTTCTCTGGGTTGGCTATTCCTAGGCCTGTATCTTCCCTTATTCCAGCAGGTAGTGCTGTGACTTTAATTTGGGGATTTTCCTTTTTTACTTATGTGGGAGAAGGAGGAAGTACGGGAAAAGGGGGGATAAATAGCACAGTCACAATTTTAGGGGACGTGGCAACCCAGGCCGAGAAACTTATGCTGCCACTTCTCTGCCAGCCACCCCAGCAAGCACCAACCATGCCCAGAGTCTGTTTTCTCGGTCCCAGCTCAGACTCATAGGTCTCCATGGCTCACAGCAGGCGTCACTCCAGTGAGAACCCCACCTTGCTGAGGGGGTGAGAGATGGGCCTCACTGGCTAGCTTGCAGTTAGAGTCTCAGGGGCTGAGCACCTGGCTCATGGCCCTTTACCCCCACTGGGGAGGTCACTTGCACCGTCTGGGTGCAACAAAGCATATGGCCTCTGCGGGAAGAGCTGCCAGTGTGGCCAAAGCTTCCTCCCTTCTCCCTGCTCTACTACCTCTGGAAGCAAACAGCTATCAATTGTGGGTGGGGGTAGGGAGTTGGGGGAGGGGTTGGGAGTATGGGGGATGCATGTGTCAATTCAGCCAAAAATGACACTGAGCTAATGAGATTTATTGGTGTTAACAGCTGTTTTCTTAGGTTGTGCTTAGAGGAGAGACTTGCCTGTAGCCAGCTATGCCACCATGCTGTGACTTCACTCACAAGATTTTTTTTTTAATGCCTAAGAGAAGCGTTAATGCCTAAGAGAAGCGTCGATTCTATCCTCTTCCTGTTTATTCTATTGCAAATAATCTTATGTTCTGTAACATAGGTCTTGGGAGTCAGTATAGAAGACTGGAGTAGACCTAAATGTATCTTTAATTATTAAAGACATCTTGGCCCCAGTTGTAGGCATTCTCCTGGCCCCAACAGCCCAGCACTGGAGGGAGAAAATGGTTTAGACATAAGCCCTGGGGTGCCTCAAGGGGGGACTAAGACAAATGCTCTGGAAGAATTGTCTGGGAAACATGGATTAAAGTGCAGCACTGTGAAGATGGCCAGGGAGCTTCAGTGAGAGTTTGATCTTCCCCCACCCCAGGTTGATCTCCATAGTGCAAAAGACATCTCCTGTCCTGCCTACTGCTCCCCTCAGAAGTAAACTTTTGTCAGACTGCCTGTTCTGCTCCCCACTCTGACAAATCGATTCTCTTACCATCTCTGCACCTCTGGCCTGCACTCCAGTTCTGTATGCATAAATAAATGAATCCTTTTTTAAAAAAGAATTGTCTGGAAAACACAAGGTTGGGGGGACGAATGCAGTCGGAGCCTCCTTAATGGCAATCAGTCTTTAATAATAATTAATTAAGTCATATTCTTGATTTGTTAGCAAGTGTAAGCTTGTAGATAGTGGCTGAGATACAGAACTCAGAGGGAAAAAGACCTTGAACCGTAGCTCTTTGGATATCAGCCCTTCTCTGGTAGCATCAAACACTCTCTTTTCTTCCCTTCTGCTAGAACTCTTCAAGTATAGGGATTATGAGCATTTGACCATTCTATCCTGCTAGTCCAAACGAGTGATAGAAAGGAAAGGGTTCAGCTTCCCTGAGGTAGGACCTGTGGGAAGTTGAGGTTCCATTTACATGTTCCTCTTTCTCCTCATCTTCCTTATTCCATAGTTACTTCCACAGGAAATCAGTCCTGAGGCACAAGGCACCAAATCTAGTTTTGACAGCAGGGGATCTGAGTGTCCTTCCCTTCAGCAAACCTGTTTACCTCTCAGGATCTCAATTTCCTCACTTATAAATGGGTGAGGATGCACATTTTGCCTGTGCTCTGAACCCTAAGGCCTCAGCACTTCAAACTGTTTACTGTATCTCTCAATATAGAAGGAGGTGCATGTCCTTGCTGAGCATTTCAGGGTCTTAAAAATACACTGAGAGGACCTATGGCCTCCAAGGGTTCAGTGGTGTTTACAGAAAAGCTACTCCCTGCATTTATGGTGTCTTTGCAGAGAGACCTGGAGTCCAGTGTGTTTTCAAATATGTATTTTCCATGAAGGAAACTAGGGTGGAGGATGGAGCAACAGAGGGATGAAGTTGGGGGCTACAAAGAGGCCATGAGTGGCTCTCCTTATGACAATTATCTGCTCATATACTCTGGTCTCTTCTTGGAAGCCTCTTTAAGATCTTAATTCCCCTCAGCCCCCCACCTCAGGGTCTGTCATTTCAATAAGCTTCAGGCAGGAACACCTCATACCACCTCACCCCCAGTAGAAGTAAGTTGACCAGGCCAGGCTTGGATGCCACTGAGGAGAGACGAGCACGTATTCTGAAAACGGGAAAGAAAAGTCTAGGTGGGATGTGAGTGCAGGGACTCGGCCCCTGGGAGCTGAAGGCTTTTGTGATCAGTGTAATTCTGAAGGTGATTGTTGTAGACAGACAAGAGGGCGGCCAGCACGTGCCTAGGCTTCACTGGGGCCATCGTGGGGTCCGGCAGCCATGGTGTTGGACTGGAACAGGAAGGCAGTGTAGGCCATGTCAGCTTCCTCCTTGGATGACTAAAGGAGCAACAGGAAAGGGGTCAGTATCTGGGGTATTGCTAAGTGGGTGGCAGTCAGAGGGAGAAGCTATACTGAATATCCTGAATTCAAATCTTGATGTAAGTAAGCCAAGTCCATGCTGACCTGCCTTATTCCAGCCCCAAACCCCACCCAAATGAACTCATTTTGAGAATTATTGTAGCATCTAAAATTACCTCCCTCTTTCTCACTACCTCCTTCTAACACATGGGGTGGAACCACTTCTATTTCCTGGGTCTTCCCCTGGAAGTTCTGCCCACACAGTTCCCAGGCATGGTGGCACAGGCTGGTGTCAGCCAGAGTGGGCTTTTTTCTTTCTTCACCAAACCAGATATGGCCTTCAGCAATACAAGACTAGAAGCAAAGACTAGAAGGTTGGCCCAGGGCTAATTCATTGTTCTAAATGCTGCTTTTCTGCTGCTGCTGAGGATTTCAGGAGCAGGGGGCTAGAAAGGAAGGTAATATGTGACCTACAAGCAGGAGTCACCCTGGTAGGATTTCAAGTCCACTGGTTGGGGTGGGGAGGGGCTTCTAGTGACTATCAAATTGTCCAGAATGAATAAAATATATTTCAGGTCCAAGGTTGGTCCTGATCAAACAATGAAGGGAGATGAAGGCAACCTGTCACCTGTGGACCCCACAGCCCACAAAGACCATTCCCCCAATCACTGGCATTTGACATTTGATCTTCCACCCTGTGGCTGACTCTTCTATGCCCTTGCTTCCCTCATCCCCCAGTCTCCTTCCCTCCCACATATGTACCTGTAATTACTGTTCATCTTCTGCCTTAGCCTGTGTTATATCAATGCAGTAAGGTGTATCTCTTTGTCAAAAATTTCTCCTGAATACTATTCTGTCATCAACCCCAACTTTGAAGTCATTTTTTCCTGATGTGTAACTGTAGATTCTCACACTAGATTTCTTAGTCACACAAATGGGGCCTCCTCCCCACTTCCCTTACCCTCTTTGCCTTCTTGGGTTCTTCAGTCTCTGTGGTCTGCTCAGTAGTGGTGGTGGTGGCTTCTGTGTGAAGAGGGAGGGTGGGAGAGCCCTAGATTAGCTTTTGTTAATCTTGTACTCCCACCCTGGTCATTGAGACAGTTATAACCCTTGCTTTACCCCAGGGCATTCTTTCGAGTGAGGGGCATACCATCTTTTCTTCCGAGGGAAGTTTCCTGATTGTCCAGAGAAGTTCCCATGTTGTCATTGGCTCCAAAGTCTCTGGAGTTTTCTAAGTCTGACATGCTGATATCTGCCCTGAAGCTTCTAATTGACATCCGGTCTGTCCAGGAGAAAGAGATGTTGATGCCGGCATAGGGTGTGGGTTCTGTGAGACAGTAAGTCCCGCTCCTCTCTGAGATGCCGCTGAAGCCTTACAGGGCAGCTGGTGGAGGACACTGCTCTGCTTGCTCATCTTAGTTCTTTATATGAGTAATGAAAGCTAACAATCCTGACCTTTATCCTCAATGCATAGTACTTTGTTTTGCCCTCACATGAATCCTCTGAAGTTGTTTTAGATCCTGGTTTTGAGCCATTAGGAAACTGAGGTATGAACGGGGAAACTGAGCTAAGCCAGATGTCCACATCTCTCAGCATCCTGTTCTCATCTTCCTGACCTCCCTGCTATTGAACATGAGCCTCAGCAACTGGATAAGTTTCGGGTGTGTCAGCTGACCCTTCCCCACACTGCTTTTCCAAAACTCTCTGAATCTGTGAGAGAGGATTGTGTGGACTCTCACAAAGACAGCTGTGCAGAACTGAGGGCTTGGAGAGGGGCTGGGGTGTCGGGAGCATGCCGGGGACTTACCAACATTTCTCCTGTGACGGATTCTGGCCACTGCCAGTGCCATAGCCCCCAGGGCCAGCACCAAGGCCAGCGGCACCAGGGTGGAGACCAGTATAGTGCTGCCCCCACTTTGTCCCGTAGAGCTGGAAGGAGGATCAGACTAGTCAGTCACTGAAAGGGAGGCCTGAGGGTCTTAGGGTGTGCTGCCAGGTTGGCTCCAGCTAGTTCTTCCTCCAGATTATGGAATTTTTTACTTATTGAAGTTAGGGTGTGTGAGAAATAACACTTGATGAGTAATCACAGAGTCAGAATTAGAACTCAAGGCTGCCGGAGGAGGATCCAGGGTGACACTAGACATGGGGAAGCAACAGTTTTCCCTAGTTTACACCAGTGGCCTGTGCCTTATTCTGCTCTTTCTTCTCGATCCTCTCCCTACCACAGTTACATTCTGTTCTGTGCCAGAGTACAGAGAACACCACTGGGTGCTGCGAGCGCAGGGGTGGTGGGAGGGCACCTCTATGCACAGAGAGCAGTGGGAGGGCACCTCTGAGCACGGGGAACACTGCTGGGTGCTCTGAGTGTAGGGAGCAGCGGGGAGGCTCCTCCACTATTCCAGAAGGGAAAAGCTCTCCCCCTTGGACCTGGTGGGCCAGTCTCACCCTTTGGATGTTTCAACAGTGGGGAAGTCCTGAATCTTGCTCACCTGCCGGCTTCGGGGGATGCTCTGCTCCCCTCATCTGGAATTCTAGAATCTTCCACTACTCTGGCCTCTGCAACAAGGCTGGGATCTTGAAGGAGTCTGGGGTCCTGGTTGACTGTCTTCTCAATCTTCGTGAGGCGTGGACTGCTCACCTCCTTGCCAGGAACAGCTTTCACTTGAGACACAGGAAAGAACAGAGTGGGGCTGTTCTTACTTATGGAATTTTTTACTTATTGAAGTTAGGGTGTGTGAGAAATAACACTTGATGAGTAATCACAGACTCAGAATTAGAACTCAAGGCTGCCGGAGAAGGATCCAGGATGACACTAGACATGGGGAAGTAACAGTTTTTCCTAGTTTACACCAGTGGGCTGTGCCCTATGAATACAAATTAATTTCAATCCACAGGACTTGTGGTGTAGATTCAACTCTTTTAAGGGCTGACCCAACATTTGACTACAGGGAGATTTTTCACACTTTGAAACCCTGCCCAAAGCCTCCTGAATGTGTGCTGGGAGTGAGAGTGCTGCCTTCTAGCTGTGGCTTGAAGGTGCATCCCTCAGTGAGCCAGCCCACCTGGGGCCAGGTCTTCCAGAGAGATGAAAAATACCCTTTTTACCCACTGGAAAGCAACAGTAGTAGTAATGCAGAGTGATGATTACTGGAATGATTAAGCCTGAATCTCCCAAATTAGAATCTTCTATGTCCTAAAAGAAGGGGTTATTATTTACACTGCTGAAGGTGTCAAAACACCTACTTTACTCCCATTCAGGGCCAAATTCAAGACAATTAACCCACTAGAACTTAAACACCTGGTTATATATATACAGTCTTAACTAACTCGTCTTACTAACAGGTGTAAGACTTCAGTTACACAGCATTACACTGCCCAGTCATAGCCTGAGACTGGTGTGAAACTATGAGAAATTCTAGGTGAGGTGCTGGCTTAGCAGAAGAGATCACCATGGAACTGCACCACACAATTCAGGTACCCGCTGTGCTTTAGGAAGTCTGAAACCCTGATGTGCAATGGGGAGAGCCTGCCAGAATGCTGCTGCCCTACTAACCCTCACCAGCACTGTGCCCCAGCCATCTGAACGGGTGCAGAGGCATTGATCAATGAATAATAGACACCCAAAAGAACCTAAGATTATACCCAGCTTCTTATAGGAGGAGTATAAGGTCAATTTATTAAAAACAGAAAACTTCCTGGGCCCTCCCTGGTGGCGCAGCAGGTTAAAGCACAGCACTGAGAAGCTGAAGCCACTTCCGCATGAGTTCGATTCCCGCCTGCCCCGGAGGTGACCCACATGGCGCGGCAGAACTCTCCTGACCCACCCGCTGCTCCCCTCAGCAGTGTACTTCGTAGATCTGCCTGTTCTGTTCCCCGCTCTGTCTCTGGTGAAACCTCTCACTGCCCCTTAGCCTCTGCATGCACAAATAAATAAATCTTAAAAAAAAAAAACAAACAAAAAACCCCAGAAAACTTCCTATAAGAAAAAATAAAAATGAAGAGCCAGAAGAAAATCACACAAATGCTGGGGCAGAGAACCAAAACAAGAACCCTGAGAGAAAACTCTGTCCAGGAGAAATGAAGAATATACTCAGTGAGGAATTCAGGGGAATGGTTATATCCATGCCCACTAAATTAAGAATGGCGTTGGACGATAAAAAACAGAACATAGTAAAGATCAAGAAGTTGTGAGGC